GTGCATACGTACATATGTACATATGTGCTGGTCATGCTTTGGTGATTATACGATTTAATTTAATTTTATTTACCTTTTGCTTTTGTAAATGCATGTATGTAAATACATTTGTCTACGAATGAGTCGCATACGTACAATACTTTCGCCCGAAAACAAGCCCGATGCTGCTGCATAAGTAAGTTGCATGGATTAGTACCTACATGCGATTGTGTAGCACAAAAAGTTGCTATTATGTATGTATTTACTATTTCTCATTTCTTATCATAAAACGGACTTTTTTCTAAACTAAAGCGGAAATGAATCATTTGAAAACGATAACAACATACGGACGCAGAAAACTTATTGCAAGGTTCATAGGCTTACTGCTGCTGGATTTCTTCTGATAAGTTTAGGAATTTTAAAAGTTTATGTTTCGGTTATGAGCTTATACGAAGAACAGCCTGAAGTTCACAGTTTTCCCCGTTGTTATTTCAAACATAAGCATAAAGCTAAAAAAAAAATTCATTTATGAATTTTTCCTTTAAATCCAGGACCATAAATAGGTTGATCGCTGCAAATCATTAACAGTTTGCTTCTTTATCCTCGTTTTTACAGCTCCTGTGCCATTTTGCCGTCGATGCTTTGCAGTGGCTTCAACTCTACCGGCTATATTTTCTGTGTTGTTATTTCCTTTCATGTGGGTAATATATGTGCACGTCAAATATGAATCAAGCTATGTACCGTAATTTTCTCACTCTAAAATTGCTGAGATAAAGTGGAGAACTAAAAAATCTGAATGAAATGAAATAGAATAAAAAGATTCAAATATAAAATAAAATAAAATGAAATAAAATAAAATAAAATAAAATAAAATATAAAATAAAATAAAATAAAATAAAATAAAATAAAATATTAAATTAAGTAAAATCAAATAAAAAGGTATTTGGAAATACATATGCAACAAAAAATTTGAATATAAATGTAAGAAAAAAACATAAAAAAAATAAAAAAATGCTTAAACTGAAATAAAAAAAAATCAAATAAAAAAATTACATCAAAAATAGCAATATGAAATAAAAACTTAAAAAAATAAAATAAAAAATATTAATAAAAACAAATAATAAGAAAATAAAATAAAAAATTCAATAAAATAAAAATTAAAACGTAAAATAAAGGAATTATTTAAATAAAAACAAAAAATCTGAACTAAATAGAAAGGAAAACAAAATATAAAATCAAATAAAAAATGTATGTAAGTAAGATAATACATATGTATATAAAAATGTTAAATAAAGCTTTATTTCTGCATTATTACTTCGAATGCGTACTTCCAACTCAAAGTTACACAATGGTCCAAAAACCTGGCCAAAAGTCGAAATTCTCATTGTTTTTACGTTGCATTTTTATACTCGGTTTTTTGGAGTCGCTGATTTCGAATCTGTTATCGGCTTTGAAAAAAAAAACCAAATTCCCGATTAAAAATGGCAGATAGGTTTTGTTTTCCTGATATAAGTTTTAAGAAAAACAAAATGGCGGATAGGTTTGTCAAACTGAAGTACGATTACTATAGAAAAGAACCTGACCTCAGCCTACTCTGTATCTACCGTCTGATTGTTTTATGTGTTCAAAATTATTTAATTTTCTTATACATAAATGTATTAGCACGTTTGTCATCTAATTTTCACATATTTACATGTAAGACTTGATAACGACAAATCATTTGCGACATCAAACTTGTAAATACTCCGCGATACTTCTGACTTACAACAGAAAAAATCCTTATAAAAAGTTAAATTTTTTTTATATGATTTTCATGAACATATATTCAGACGAAATTATGATTGAAGAAATGCGAACACTTTTATAAGCGAACGCGCAATAACAAAACTCTCGAAAGCAAACCAAAAGCGATAACAAACCATGGTACAGTGGAACCTCGATATAACGAAGTTGAAGGGGTTAGACAAATGCTCCGTTATATTTATAGTTTCATTATATTTATAGAATGAGAAAATCTCGATGCAACGAAAAATGCCAAATTTTTTAAAAAATTCGTTAGAAGTCTGTGGTCACAAGCAATAACCGCCCAAGTCGACTTAAGGAAGAATGGATTCTTTATATGCTATCGTATTCTTTAACCACTATTCTATGCGTATGTGAAATCCCCCAGGCTACTTAAAAAGTTATAGGCGAAAATATTTTGGTTTCTCCAGAAGGCTAACTTTACAATCGAAATGTTTAAATCGTTTTTTTCTCGAATTCAGGTTTTTCGACTTATTGATTATGACCACAGAAGTATAGTTTCGTTTTTATTTTTTTTTTTGTTTTTAAACGGGACTGTACCCGTCATTATATCGCTAGCTTAGCTTTTGTGAAAACTTATAATTTGATATAGAAAGTAAGAGAAATAAAAAATTCATCCGGTACTTGTTTTATAACTTCCCGTTTATATGCAATGGAAGGCAAAGGAAGTCCAAAAGAGGCACAGAAAGTTCTATATAATATTGCGAAATCTTTTAATCAACATCGAATCCTTTTCATTTGTATGGCGTTTTGCTTTGCCTTATAGCGTTTTCTTTTCTCAAAAAAAGTGCTGCCCTTTTATATGGGAACTCTTGCTTTGCGTTGCCCTGAAACCTGAGAAAATGTTGCGTTCTTTATATGAGAATGAAACAGAAAATATACTACTCCACCACAATTTATTTATAGAACTTAATAAAGCTGAATTATTCACTTATCCTGTAAGTATTTAACAATTTTAAAGCAAAACACTTATTTCTGATAGGGAAAATAATTGCATTTTTACAAGATTAAATTAAAAATCAACCAAGCAACTCTCACCCTCACGTTTATTTGAGGGCAGAAAAGGCAGCACTTTCGCCGGATCAGAGCGCAACCTGCTGAGAAAAGAACACGACGCCTTGTGAAAGGGCTGAGAAAAGAACATGAAAATGTGACAGCGCTAACACAAGGCAGAATAAGTGCAGCCTTTTTTCGAGAAAAGAAAACGCTATTAAATGCACTCAAAATGTTGCCTTCAAAGTTTTACAAAATACTTGAAAAAATTGCTATGAGAAATCTTCGTAAAATTTTTAAAAATGCAACTTCCACATTAAGCTAGCAATATTTCGAGTTCGTTATGTAGAAGTTTTTGAGACGACACTTCGTTTGCTAACGGCACTTTAACCGCCAATATATTCCGAAGGTTTTCATGCTAAAAATTTCTTCGATATATCTAAGAAGCATTTTTCTATGGAAAATTACGCAACTACGAGGTTTTTTCAGCAAAAATTTTGTTATATTGAATTTTTCATTTGATCGTTCGTTCGTTATAGCGAAGTTTCACTATATGTTTTTACTTCTGCATTTACACCAAAGGCGTGATAAGAACTTGCATGTGCTTATGCATTTACATAAGTATGTATGTACATAAATATGTACTCGTACGAGTATGTAGAAGATTTGCATGAGTATGGGAAACACTCGTCTTCGCTCTATACCGATTTCCCTGCAGGAGATTTCCCTAGGCCAAAAATGGTTCAATATGCGTTCCTATTTCCACAACACTAGTCTCCGCTCAATCTCCGAACAACGGCTACAACTGTCTTTATTTATAATGGCACCATTCCATTGGCGATAGACAGTTGCCCCATAAAAGAAAAATCTCGTCCGTTGACGATTGTTGTAGCCGAGCGACCTGTGAGCCGATGTTTCTTAAACAACAACAACGCAATGCTTTGTGCGTGCGCGTTGATGCGTGTACAGCAGGGATGATAAATGCGTTTTTAAATTTTGTACCAAATGGCAAAAAAAAATGTACCAAATCAGCCGAAAAAGTACCAACATATATGTTTTTAAATTAGGTAAATTTTTCTATAGGTACGTTCGTTTAAAATCTCCAGTAAAACATGCCCAGCAACAAAATTCCTGTGAACGGGGGAAATCTGTTCTCTCACAAGAGAAAAATATCCAGTATAGTATGCGAACAGAAAGTTTGCAGAAACCTTCAAGCTCTTTGAACATCTGTTGAAATTTTAGTTTTCATTCAAAAATGTAAAAAGAAAAAATTCTCCATCAACCTAAAGTTCAGGCCTCCGGATCACTGTAGCATTTTCCAAGCAGAGATACCCGCTATACAGGAGGCTTCGGATTGCTTGCTCTCTAGTGTATTACCTCTACAATGCAGGGAACACTTGAGAAATTGCTCAAGGTCTGGATACTCCCCTGACCTCAAGCGGTCTACTTCTGGACAGATGGGCGTTTAGCCAGCTCAGCGTGCGCTGGGCAAAGACCTTGGAATGCAGGGCGGCTAAGTCCTTCTGGTCACATGTAGACCGAGGGCGGTCCAGGGAGCTCGTGGGCAAGTTACACTTCTCACTTCTGGTGGAAGTTCCAACTGGTCATTGCGTGATAGGTAAGCATGCAGTAAGGCTGAATATCATCGATGACCATGAATAACTATAGCTTAAAAAGGCCATCAAACCCCTTAGAATACAATTCTGAGCACATGAACCTCATTTTGTGAAGTTGTACTCTAAGTTTCAATATCAAGGCAAGCAACAAAAGCATTCAAGTAGGTTTATTAAGTGCAAGTAACACAAAAACTTTACAAAAAAAAATTGCATTCAATGCAATCGAAGTTTCAGACAAATGATTTGCAAAATATTTAGTCTTTTTGATTTTAGCAAGTCTTTCGTTTTTAATAAACACCACGTCTTGTAAGAAGTGGAAAAAGATGAGTATATTTTCGTCCACAAACATTCAAATTTTCAAGTATACATAGTGGTATTTCGACAGAATTTGGCGCAGTGCCGTATTTTGACAAAATTGTATCAAAAATGTCGATGTAGTACCAATGTACTTTTGAGATTCAAAATGTACCAAAAAGTACAATTGTACCATCAATTTCATCACTGGTGTACAGATGAACGAATCGTGGTTAGATTTGAATTTTTTACACTTCGTCTGCCAGCAGAAATCGGAATTTTTGAAGAATCTAGTGTCCCTCATTTCATAACAAAGCAACCAGTCCAATACTTGGTCTGTTAGAGACCATCTCAGAAGTAGTAACTTTATTTCATGGGGATACTTACGCACGACGGCAGGGTTTTTATTTCAAATACAACACTTTGAATGACTCCCACCCGGGCTGGACATAAATACATATTTAGATTATCGTTTCACAGTTAAAATTTTGCACTTGCGACAATCAAACCAACTTGTGAACTCGGTGAGCTTTGAAAAGGTAAAGTGTAAGTTTATAAAATTATTTTCCATCCGTTTGATTGTGAAATTATTGCCAACAGCCGGTTTCGTTAGCAATTTAAATGGTAAATGGTTTTTTTTTTTTATTAACTCTCAATTACCATATAAAATTCCAAAAATTAAAATCATTTTTCACTTAAATTGCTTTTGTGAAATTAGCTTCCATTAACTAATATAGTGTTACTTTGATTGTTCCCGAATATTCGGTCACCGAAAAATTTAAAAGTGTTATTAACAGAAATGAAATGAGAACTTTATTTATCGGCTAAAAAATTTTGTTACCAGCGCAGAACAGAATTTCCACGGAAAATATACATATGGGTGTTTCCATGCAGCCATACGCGACATTCGTACGCTTATGGAGTAACATAAATCTCTCAAAAATAGAAGTTACTGAAAAACAAGATTACGGTTCCTATGTTGCAACCCAATGGTACTATGTTTGAGAAAAATGTAAGCAGCCTCGAAACTTTGGTGGGTGTGGAAAATATCCGTTCAAAACAGGGTGATAACGTGCGCGACAAAAAAAAATAAGTGTTTTTAAGGCACATATACATATTTGCGAAAGTCTGCGAATCATGGGAGTTTTTATTTTTGTTAAAAATTCCTAATGTACCTTTACAATCCTTCCATTTTTTTTATCTCTGGTTAGATTTTACTAAAAAAAACATTATAACGTACGCGACAGATTTTTCCCTCATACAATATTTTTACTAGTAATACATACTAAATTAAATTTTTAATGAATATATATCATCAGAAAATACTGAAAATTCGCTTCAGATAATATGCTCTCTAAAATAAATAAACTTTTTAAAGTTTCATAAATTGCATTTTATTTACATAAAATTGACAAAGAACTCAAACATTTTCAACCGGCTTCAAAAAAGGGGAGGTTATCAATTCTTCGGAGTGTTTTTTCTTCTTTTATGTATGCCACCGCATAACTTTGGACCGCGTGAACCGATTCCAATAATTTTTTTTTTACCGGAAATATGGTACCTTAAGGGTCGTCCCGTAATTTGGTTTAGATCCGATCATTAAATCATGAAAAAAATAACGGTACTCTTAAATTTGTATATGAGAATTGACGCGGGCTTTGCTTTTTTTGCTTAAAAATTACTTGTTTAATAAAAAGTTCTATAAACACAATAGAATTTTAATATATATAAATTAAATAGTTCCATGAAATTTTTACACTTTTATGTTCATTTTCGTCGATTTCTGGTTTCTCATTTTTTAAATACTTCGAATACCGAACATTTAAAATTTGAACCCCAAAACCCACCACTTGTGTGGACTAATGCTAAGTGCTCATATTTACTCAACTTTAAACACTTTGTGTGTATTTTTTCTGAACGTGATAAATTTGGTATGTAGCAGTAAACAGACAGTGATTAATTTTGCACACACTAGGAGAGGAAACTTGTTACCTCTCTTTATATGCGTAAATTTAAACAACATTTTTTTAGAGGAAATTTTAAACATTTTATGTGTAAACTGTGAAATTGTGAACAATAAATAAATAAATAAAGAACTCAAAAAACAAATTTGAAATTTGTTCTACGCCACACATATGCTAAATGAAAGTAAGCAAGCAGTGTTTAATTTAATTAACACGGTGTGTAAATTTGTGTAAATTTGCATTCATTCAGAGAGGAAACTGGTTACCTATCTTAATATGCGCAAATTAAAACAAATTTTTTTTAGAGTGTATATTTGAAATAACGCTATATTGTATATGTAAGTAGGGCGCGTCAGTTTGTGTCGAACGATTTCAACGGAAGTTGAAGTTGCGACTTAAAATTTCAACCGTTTCCAACTTAAAAAAAGTACTAATTTTTGGACATTTTTAATCGATAAACCTACATTGAATATTTAAATAGTAGTAAGTAGTTACAGAATATTGAAATAAATATGCAATTTTCTTATATTCTGTTTTTTTTTTTTGCTTTTCCAACCTTTTCTTTCAGACTTAAAAATATGAGCAATCGTGTCGTAAAAACTTCCAAAAAAGGAAGCCAGACCCGAAAAACAATTACGAGCACTAAGAAATCAGTTAAAAAGACAAAGACGGGTACCATCGAAACCGTTGAAAAGAAAGTTACTGTAGTGAAAAAAGTTAACAAACCGCCGCCAAAGCAAGCAAAGAAAAAAGCCGCAATGGTCAAAGCACGGCCAAAACCCAAGGCACCGCCGAAAACGAATTCCGATGCAGCGGTATATGGAAGGGGTGATTTCTTTTATGCTTACAAATTTTACACACAAACATAAATATGATTGAGCAACTTTTTTAACCGACTGCAAAAAGAAGGAGGTTCACAATTCGCCGGAATATTTTTTTAAGCTCTTTTTTATGTACATATACTACTCGATAACTTTTGACTACGCGTACCGACTTCAATGATTCTTTTTTTTATTGAAAAGGTGTATTTGTCTCAAAGTGGGTGAAATTGCCTGAACACAGCATCATTGGCCTAAATAACGGAATTATTTGCTTTTTTTCGAGCACATAAACAATAAACTTGCATAATTGAAGTCGGTTGCATTTTTTTAAATGATTTGTTTACAAAATATGTTTAGGTATTAAGAAAATTCAGTAAATAAATTAAACTTGGAGCAATACAAAATAATTTGTAAAATCTTACTTTTATTACTATTTTTAAAGGTTAGCATGAAGACATTCATTTTGAATGCTAAAACAATAGTTAAAAATTCGGTGTTTTTGTAGCGTCTGCTCAGCCTCGCCTAGATGAGTCGGCCTCTCAATCGTTTTCATAAAGCTCGCATCAAAGCAAGCGAGTTTAAGCTATGTGGGTTTAAGCGGGCAAGTGAAGAGGTGGTTAGTGTGCTGCGGAGAACCTTCAGAGGGCGAGTCTGGACAAAGCGAAATTCGACCTTAATGCATGTGGAGGTTGTGTGCGCGGAGAAAGAGAACAGGCTGTTAAAAGTATTCCTTTGAATTATCCGGCTGTTTGAATTCGGAATTGGTGTACCTTTCCGAGCTATAGCCTGACCTCTTTCGTCCACGTGGTAAAAACAGGTAACCGAGAATTTCGCGAAAGAGAGGCTTAGGCTCATTGCGGTGCAGAAGCGACAATTTCGCCCAGTAGTCACTGCATGAGATCAGTGAAACGCCCTCTGATATTTATTTTGAAATGTGACTGACTATTGCCGACCACTCAGATAATTTGGCGTTATCTGGAAGAGAGGAAGCCTTTGAAGGCCTTCGAAAAGCTGCTGCAAGGGTTCTTTCACAGGTGCGGTTACGGTTAAGCCCGAGATTTATCTTTGTGTTTGCGGCGATTTTTAGCATCAGCATGCCTATTTAGTCGGTGCCAAAGGCTTTGAAGGCGTTTGGAATCCCGATGGCCACCTGAACTTCCTCGCTGGTGAAAGAAAAGAGGCGCACCGGTTTGCGGCCAATTTTCGGCTAAAATAGCTCGCGCATTGCTTCGGTTGCGGCTGTGGCTGCTTTGTCCTGGCGTTTCGGTGGGTTGGGTAGAAATCTTTCGCTTGCCAAAGTTTGCTCACACAAAAGAAGAAGCATTAGGTCTGCAGGTGCACATTCCACTTTACCGCTGGTGTTGGATGCTTATTTCCAGCATGCTTGGGATCAACATGGCGAAGAATTCACGCTCAGTTGCTAGTACACCGTTTTCAGTTGGAAAAGCTATTTTAAATTTTGATTTTTTTTTCATATTTAAATTCTCACTTCTAAAAGAGTGCAGACAACTAACATACAATTTTTTAGGCAACACCATTTTGTATCTCTTTTTAATTATGTATTTTTAAATAAGTGGCGTAGGAAAATTTTGTTGACATATCTTAAATATATATAACTTTTTATATTTTTAAGTCTCGCTTTTCCCTCCATTTTCTTCCAGATTCCAAAACATGACCAATCGCACAGTAACCACCTACAAGAATGGAAACAAAACTCGAAAAACAATTGTCAGCCAAAAGGTTTCAACCAGGGCTACAAAAACGGGCGTCACACATAGTGTTGAGAAGAAGGTTACCGTTATAGAAAAAGTAAACATACCACAGCCAAAGAGGGGATCCAACAGCTATCCTTACATGACTGTGGGTTGTATTACTTACGGAAGAAATTAAAGCAAAAAAATTTCTAAATTTGATAAAATTTTGTAAGGGCCTGAACTAATATTTTGTTAACAGTCCACTTTTTTAACAAGAAAATTCAATAAAAACGTATAATTGAAACAATGTGTATGTATGTGTTTTGAAAAATTTTGTTTTTTTTTTTTTGTTTAAATTGGACAGTATGGAGTTGTGGAGAAAACGTCCTCGGGATTTGCGGCACAAATTTTTAAGCTTAGGTAGTGTAAAGCTGTTTAAAACAGGCCAGCTCTAATTTTTCTCCCTTACTCACCACACTTATGTGCACACTAGGGTGGTCCAAAAATGCATGTAAAAAAAGTAATGTAGGAATTTTTATGCTCTCAGCCCATTAGATTGTTCTATGTATATCGCAAAAACGAATACCCCTATTTTTTTATTTTGAAATCAAAAAAAATTTAGACGTCGCTCAAAGAGCTCAAAGTTTTCCATGTATTTTATATGTGGAAAAACAACTTTTCGTAGAAATGGTATAGAATTCTTGCAAATCAATATTTTTCGATCACAGTAACTATATTTTATATGTCCGCCAAAACCCCAAGAAAATGTCAGACAAAGCAATGGGGAGATAAATAAAAAATCTTTAGCATTGAAAAATGGTTAAATCAGCAATTGGATATTTTTATTGGAAGTCTCCTGAAGAGAACCAGAGTTTTCCGATCGAAAAATATTGATTTTCAAGAATTGCATACCATTTCCACGAAAAGTTAGTTTTTTCCCATATAAAATACACGGAAAAACTTTGAGCGCTTTGAGCGACCTCTAAATATTTTTTGATTTCAAAATAAAGAATAAGGGTATACCTTTTTCGATATAGAACCATCGTAGCATTAAAGTTCCGACTTAACTTATTTTGGACCACCCTAGTGCACACATAAATATACATATGCACATATGCACGTAAAAAAGCTCATATTGCTACAACGAGTTGTGGAGTCTTGCAAGAGATTTTGAAGTAAGACTTCACAGTACAAATTTTGCATTGGTGATTAAACGTACGTTTTTCTTGACTTCCGAAAAGGTAAGCAACCAATTTGAACTACATATCGGAATAAATATTTTATTTATGCTGCAATTTATGTGTGATTTTTTTTATTGTGGTATAGAAAAAATTTCGAAAATATTATATCCAAGAATTGGTTTCGATTAAAAAAAATATTTTTAGCAAAAAAAAACTTGAACTACTGTGCTGTGCAGTTTTTTAAAACATAAAAAGGGATAACACAGAATTGAAAAACAAACTTGGAGTAAACAGGTTCAAAATAAGACCAGCAAAAAGTAAAGCTTTTACAAAAGTTTTCGCAAATAAAGGTTTCGGTAAATGTAAAAAGCTGATTAATCGATTTTTTATTAGTAAATAAAAAACTACTTTTATAAAAGTTTAAGTGAAAACTTTGAAAAAGAATTCATAAAAAATTTCAAAAATAAAAAAAATTTACTGAATATAAAAAATATACTAAATACGTTTTGTAAGAAGAAAGAAAAAGCAAATAAATAAATTTAACTAAAAATTGGAATAAAAATTGTTTTTTTACCTAAATTTGCAAGAAAAAACATAATCCATTTTATTTTTTTACCAAATAAAAAATTTTTAATTTTTTTTTAACAAAAAAGCATTTAGTTCAAACATTTTTACTACGATTTTCAACAATTTACAAACAAATAAAGGTGGGTAGATATGCGAAAAGTTGAGAAATAAAAATTTAATTCAAAAAATTACGAAACAGTGGTCAATTAAAGTAAATTCTAGAGAATTCACACCAACCAATGTGGCAAATTGTAAAAAAGGGTAGGCCAAAAAAATTCTGAAATCAAAAAATTATTAATGCCTTATTCATAAAAAATTAAATAGATTCATAGATCTTTATAAAGTGATATTTTCATACAAAATTTTGATTCATTAAGTCTTATTTATTTTGTATATATTTGGGTGTAAGTATTAGACCACGTTAAAAAAATAAAAATAAGAATCCTGCAATGCGACCGGAATCTGACTCAGATTTTAGTATTTGGTATAGTACCATAATTTTAAGAGATCGCGCATCGAGCGTTAATTTTTCCCATAGGAATAACATAATAACATTTTTTTAATGGTTTAAATAAATAAATGAGTAATTAATACAAAAAAATTCACATAACAATTTTACTTATAATTTTTAACACAGCACGGTTTTCTGACGAAAATTAAAAAAAAAATGAAAAATATATTAATTTAATAAAGTAAATAATAAAATAATAAAATTGCATAAAAAACATAATTATGTGAAAAATTTGTAATTTAAATTCATTAGGACTTCTGTGATTACTTTTGCAGTAAATTATTTATTTTTGGAAGTTATTAAATTTTTTCAAAGTAAATTTTCAAATACAAAGAGTGTACATACATATATATGTACATCAGGTGGAGTAATTTGTTTGGAACAAAATTTTCGAAGAGAGTGTATAGCAAATTCAAATTCTACGATTAATTCTAAGCAAAAATGGCGAAGAAACTACATATAAACCAAAAATTACGTTTGAGTCTCCCAATTTTCAAAAGAAAAAGCAGTAATTGTAATTTTTTTAACTTTTTTTCTATACATAATTTTCAAGTTTTTTTTTTGGTTTGTGAAGAAGTTTCTTAAATATGAAGAATACACAAAATTTTCTAAATGAAAAATTAATTACGTTCAGAAAAAATTACAATACACTGATTTTTCTTTTTACAAATTGCGAGGGTCAAACGTCATTTTTGGTATATAATTTGTTCACCATTTTTGCTTAGAATCGAACGTAGAATTCGAATATGCCATACACTTTTTTCGAAATTTAATTACTCCGCCCTAATGTACATACATAAATCTCATTTAAAGAGGAACATTTGTTGACATAAAAATTGTATTGAGAAAAACTATTCATCCTACATTTAGCTCAAAATCGAAATGAAAAAGAGTAATCGACATGCAAAAATTAACTCAGAGACTTTTATTTAAAGGATTATGATCAAATAAGCTGGAGAAAAAGTTTTGAAGCAACGAAAATAAAAGAAAATTAACTGAAATAATTTAAAGTAAAATGTTTGTCACATTTATGTCTCTTTAAATTTTTTTAACGTGAACTTTTTTTGATGGACATTGGCGAAAAGCAACTAAATGAAGTAATGGAAGTCTTAATTTAATTTTTTTCAATTTAAATTTTCACCAGAAATTTTTTTAAGTGAAATTATCTAAGTATGCAACCAAAAAAAGCCGGACGTTAAAGTTTTTAATTAAGGAAAGTATTGTGAAGAAACTGTTTTTTGAAAAAATTTTATTTTTATTATTCATTATTTTAATGAAAACAAAAATACATATACTGACAATATTTGACTATTTATTTTATTATTTTTTAATTCTAATTATTTCTTTATAAAAATATTTATTCTATAACAAAAACTCTAAAACCCCAAGGTGTTGCTTATTTTCTCCATAAAAAAAAAAACACCGTCGAACTTACTTCGTATGGAAGAAAATTATTGACATCGTAAACAAAAATAAATTGCCAAAAATCAACAGCAAGTCCCAGGTACTTCATACACTGATAGGCTCTAAGAAATGTAATTAAAAGCTCGAAATTTCTAAGAAAGTTTTGAAACTTGGATTTATACGGTTTTTGTTAAAGAATAAAATATATTGTTATAAAAAAAAATAACTAAAATTACAAAATAATAAAAAAGTAGTAAAATTTTGTCAATATGTGAGTGTCGTATAGTTATGATCAGCACTATATTTAAAATTTTTGCCTCGCAATTGAAATTAAATCGATTGAATTTTCTTTGTTTTTAGCAAGCATTCATAAAAATTTTAAAACAATATTTCCTTGCACCCCTTTTGTTAAAATTTTGTGTTTGTGTTTCTCTGCTTCGTAATCAGGAGTGTATGTATGTATGATCTTTTTTTTCATTTTGAAGTCCAATATGCGCCATACAATATTGCAACCTAAACAATTTTACCCGCGAAGTAAAAGAATTTATTATTCTACGATAAAGTGAAAACGAGGCGAGAATATGAGACTTACATAATTACTTACATACATATGTATGTATATATACATATGCGCGATCGTTTGCGCTGAAGCAACAATTCTTGCTTATAATTACGAAATTCAATTTGTATACACTCTTACATACATACATACATACAAACATAAGCATAAGTGTACATTACGGAGCCTCATGATAATTCATGAAATAAATTCTGAATGCACACAAACTATACAATACTCTCATTACGACTTTGCTTTAAGTAACTCCTGAAAGAACTGCTAGTTTTGTTACTATATGTCTTCTAGTGTTTCATATTTAATATCCGCAAGGCCTGAGCATTCACACAGGAAGCCTATTCTTGCCACCAGATTGCCTGGTGCCACGCATTGGTTGCTACTATTTAGGTATTCTGGATGTCTGCAAGTTAAACTTCGTTATCGACTCCATATCATATAACATATAGGACAACGGAGATAACGATATTTAATATGTAGTTAGTGTTAACCAGATATTGAATTATCGGCCCTTAACCTTTTAAGCAGTTTCGAGCTCCTTGTTCGGTTATTGTCAGACCAGAGTTTTCTTGATATCACAGAAGTTTGTATACCTGACCACCTGCTTCAAGTCACTACCAGGTATTACTACGTTAGTGTTGAAGTCAAGCTTGGCTACCAAATAGTCTGACGTCTTTCCTAATTGCATTTCGTTAGTGATCAGTTGGTGTGCAAATTGACTAGGGCCCAAAACCCTGCCACTCTGTGTCAGACTGCACTGATACCGGGACATTCAAAAGTTACCGTTACTTGCACTCAGTGTCGATAAAAAGTACTCGATTTAAACTACTAGGCTCCGATTGCAGAGATATGATTTTAAATTTCAGTAACAACCGACCAAAAGTTTTTTGTTTTAAGTAATAAAAAATAAAAATCGACTCATCTCATTCGCAAAAGTCTTCGATCCCTCCAAACAAAAAATAAAAATAAAACACACCGCCTACGTTATGGTTAGGAAAAAACAACTTCCCATAAAATTTACCAGGCGTTTGAAGGCGAAAATTGTGCCGTTTCCTCCCTCCATTTACGGCCCAA